CCCGCGTCTCCTGCATCGGCAGGCGGACTCTCAAGCACTGCGCCACCAGGGAAGCCCACTCCTAATAGTTTTAATACAAAATCAAGTTAATTATTACATAGAATTTTGACAGAATTTTGTTTTATACTTTCCTTATAGCATTTTACTTGTTTTATACTTTCCCTTTGCTTGCACTTGCTTGCTTTTTCAAGACTTCTTAGCCCAGTAAACATATATTGTCTATTTTGCACCTTGGAACAAGAAGAGAAAACAGCACAAAAAGCTAATGGCTAAGACTTCCCTGGTGGCGCAGTGGTTGAGAGTCTGCCTGCCAATGCAGGGGACACAGGTTCGTGCCCCGGTCCGGGAGGATCCCACGTGCCGCGAAGCGGCTGGGCCCGTGAGCCACGGTGGCTCAGCCTGAGCATCCAGAGCCTGTGCTCGTAATGGGAGAGGCCACAACAGTGAGGCCCGCGTACCGCAAAAACAAAAAAACACAAAAACAAAGCTAATGGCTAAAACATTTAGTCTCACTAAATAAGGGATTATTTTAGTGTCTATATGTGTAAGTATCTGAAAGGATCAGCAAACTAGTAGTTTTGCCTGACTGAAGGTCTTATTTGCAACCAAATGGGCTTTTAACTTAATTAGAGACAAATCTGGTGTTCTCATTAGAGACTGTTAACTCAATAAAATAGTTTTTATTTCTTGAGCTCAGAAAAATACTTATCTCAGGCAGGAAGATGATTGCCTTAAAGGAAATGAGTTGCTGCAGCTGATAACGGTGACTAGAATAAAAAAGTGGCCAAGATGATAGTATAGGATGAATAAAATTCTGGATACCCATGCAATCTATTTTTTAGAGTGAATGTTACTTTATTAACCCTTTTAAATGAAAATTCTGATTTTCTGCTGTGACAAACTAACAAATATTTGCTGCTTTAGTATTACGTCTCACCATTTGTTCCTATGAAAGTGTGACAAGCAAATTATCTTTTTTCTGCATTGGTATATATTTTTTAAAAAGTCATCACACTCTTTTATCATAAACTTGAGAAAAGATCAAATTAAAAGGTCACATTCTTTGATTTATGTGAAAGACAAAATAATTATAAATCCACAGAATATTCTAAACCTAATCAGTAAAATGGATAGTAATTACCAGGTTCAGTTAAAAATCTCAAAAGTGAAATAAAGGACTTGCTACCTGAAATAACAGACCTACTTATTATCAATGCAAACATGCCAGAGACAGATGAACTGCCAAACTAACTTTCATCAACAAAAATGGTTCAGGGCTTCCCTGGTGGCGCAGTGGTTGAGAATCTGCCTGCCAATGCAGGGAATATGGGTTCGAGCCCTGGTCTGGTAAAATCCCACATGCCGCGGAGCAACTAAGCCCGTGCACCACAGCTACTGAGCCTGCGCGTCTGGAGCCTGTGCTCCGCAACAAGAGAAGGCCGCAACAGTGAGACGCCCGCGCACCGCGATGAAGAGTGGCCCCCCGCTCACCGCAACTAGAGAAAGCCCTCTCACAGAAACGAAGACCCAACACAGCCAAAAATAAATAAATTCATTTAAAAAACAAACAAACAGGGCTTCCCTGGTGGTGCAGTGGTTGAGAGTCCGCCTGCCAATGCAGAGGACACAGGCTCGTGCCCCGGTCTGGGAAGATCCCACATGCCGCGGAGCGGCTAGGCCCGTGAGCCATGGCCGCTGAGCCTGTGCGTCCGGAGCCTGTGCTCCGCAACGGGAGAGGCCACAGCAGTGAGAGGCCCGCGTATTGCAAAAAAAATTAATAAATAAATAAAACAAACAAACAATATCTTAAAAAAAAAAGGGGGGGTGTCAAAAGATGATCCTGGCTAATAAGAAAAATAACAATATATTTAAAGAACACAAAAGGAAATGTTTCCATATAGTGGGAAGTTGGAAGGGACAAGGGGGAGGTGTTGGTGACATAGTCTATTTACCATTCCAAGACTCAAAAATACCTGAAAACCAAGCCACCACACCAAAAAATGAACTTAAATAGAGATATGATACTTTAAGCCATAAAGAGAGCAAATGGCTTTCTAGTCTGCAGGATATGACAGTTAATAAACTTAATATATTAACTATATATCAAAAGAGGGGATTGCTCAACCCTAGAAGCAATAAGTAAATGAGTGAACAAATGAATGAAAGAGTAAATAATAATCACAGAGGCAAACATATTCTATGCCCATTCAAGTTATTGTCTAAAGGAAAAGAGAAACCTTAGCTAAGCTAACTAGAACATTACTGGGTTTTTGGTAAGAATATTTTATGGTGGGTGAGACTTTCTCAAGCCATACTAGCTGAGAAGACTCTGGTTCTAAAGATCTACTAGATCCCTTTGTTTGGATTCTAAACAACCTTTTTGAAAACTTTGGCTTCCCAACTGGTAACCTGCACATAGTAAGAGAATATGCTGGAAAGGTTGACTTAAAATATCTAGTCTGTCTGACAGTTCCGCTTCTTATTGCCAATACATGTATATAAACTAAAAGATAAATGAGTTAATCAGTCTCTCATAATTAACATTAAGTCTGCCCCTAACAGTCTGATCTTACTGTATCAAAAAAAAAAAAAAGTTTCTAAGCCTAGAGGAATCACTGGATTATGGTTCATCAATATAAACGAATATAAATGACCCCTTAAGAGAATTATGCCAGCCATAAACCTTATTGCTTTCTAAACTTAGTAAGGACAGTTTCAGCTTGTGTGGTAAGGCTTTCCACCTGAAACTGGAACAGACAGAGTGGGTTCTGTAAAGAAATGGTTGTACTGAAAGATTCAAAATGTTTACTCTTAAAAATAAGCAATTATATAAGAATTTATTATCAGGAGCTG